CACGATACATTACAGATTCTTTAATACCATCTGCATTCTTGGTGGGTATACATGTATGTAACAAGTAAGGTGTACATGTAAAAATTCTTTAGTTATAAATAATGTAAAAAGATTCTCGTGCAAATATAATTTACCTTTGTATAAATCTTCAAAAGCAACAAGGTATAAATAAAGGGAATTCAATTCGATGATTAAGTATCTGCTTAAGTAATCTTCAAGATCATACATGAACTCTTTTCTAAACGCGTATTTAATTTACGTTAAACAGAAATTTTGTTAATCACGTCAGTCTCATTTAAACCACGTCGAGTAAATAAGATAAAACTTATAAAAATGTTTAAATGCATCCTGCATATTCTTCACCATCGCGATAATTAATCCTATACAGGAATTGAAAAATACTACTTGAAAGTCAATGTATGACTTTCCTTATATACTTTAAATTGTGCGTTTGTACAAATGTGCCAAATAACGTCATTGTCGAGAAATCATTTTGATCAAGGAATAACTACGATTGTAGTTATAGAATAAAAACTATAATGTCGAAGACATCAGGCAAGACGTTATCACAAATATTATGCATTTAAGTAACTTCTTGCATTTCTTTTGATCTTTTGGAAAATGAGGGAGTTTTTCACTTTCGTTGTAAGTACTGATAAATGTAAGTAAATAAGAGATCAGCGTTTAAATAACGCTTCACTTTCTGGATTCAGCGGCTGCTCGTCTCTGTGTTTTTCTAGATTCCCCGATAAAGTAGGATCTGGTCGTCGCCTTTTGAAAAATCCGAATTTTCGAAGGATCAATGTAAGTAGAATAAGCAATAACAGACCTGCAACCGCGGCTACTATAATTATCCATATTGGTATAGAATCGACGTCCTGCTGATCGAGGAGTGCTGGATATGCGATCGTTTCGGCAATCGCTTGGTCGTCCAGCAGGTTTTCCTGTTGTATTACAACGTTCGGTGGTATGACTATCTTCGCGTTGGATCCTATTCTCACTTCGTCTACCTTCGGATAATCTTCTACAAGAGTAGAATTCCACAGTCTTGCTTTCACGGTGATGATCGCCTCCTGCTTTCTTTGCAAATTGTATATGAAGCAAGTAATGTCGAAACATTTCGCCGTTCCTGCCATGCAGTTCATCGAAACGATCTTACGTCTGTGTCCATCCTTGTCAATGAAAGTACGCGGGTTTACGACTTGTTCTATATCTCGTCTCATTCTAATGTGGCCAGTGTGATTATGAAGCAACGGTGATTGAGTGGACAACGTTTGGAACATGTCGGTATCCTCGTAACTTATGCTGTCTTGTAAGTTCAATGGATTAGGTATGTGTCCCCGTGGAAGTATACATTCGCTGTCGCCTAACGCTTGCACGGTCGGCCGTTCCTCTAAATATAAAAGCCATTTCCCATGAGTTTTATCATTGGCAACCTCATAAGGCCACGCGATGTGAACTTCCAAAGTGCTGACTCGCCATGGACCTTCGTTGAATACTTCGTACACGTGAGAGACCCGAGGTCCTACTTCGTTCAAATGCTTTATAGCGGACTCGCCTATAACTGGCCCACCATAATAAGCCCACTGAATCTTCGCGCTTCCTTTGATCGACAATTCCGCCCGTTTCAATACCGTCGCCTGCAACCTGACTGGCTCCTCCTCTCTTACTTCTTTTGAAGTTGAATTTGCAAATATTACAAATTCCAACTGCGACTTGTTATCTTCTAATCCCTTCGGATCGAATCTTACTTGGATATTCACTAGCTTGTCTTTCTTAAAAGGGTTCCCGATGGAACAACTTACTATCGTGGCATTATGCAGATTACAGATCACGGAGTCATTGCTTTTACTGGCTATGTAATTTAAACTTTGGGAATGGATGATGAACAATTGAGCTTCGTACGCGGATTCACCGACGTTCGAGACATTCACGTCTACGACGACTTCTTCTCTTTCACCCAGGAGAAGTTCGTAGAAATGCGGTTTCGCGGAGGAAGCTGATAAATTTAATCGAGCTTTCACTTCGAGATCGCTCTCGCAGATATCGTTGTTACCACAATCTTTTTGGAACGTTGCTTCGAATACGCGGGCAGCTTCCTGTTGATTCAGTATAGGATAGCTTTTGATGTCAGGTAGCGGTTCTCCTTCGGCAGGCATAATCGGCTCTTCCTGCACCAACGAATAATTCAAACGAAATTTAATAGGCGATTGAATGTCACGCGTATTTTCTTTTAAGTACACAGTTTCCTTTTGGCAGTGTTGCAGTTTCGTCGTGTCTAGATTAACAGTGCGATTCACGAAATGCACATGCGAATACCCGGTACCGAACCAGACTCGGGAGAACTTTTTAACTCCCGTAAAAGTTTCGGCTTCGATGTAATAATTCAATTTCAAATTCTGCATATCTACGTCTTTGACCAAAGATTTAGTTCGACAACAGGCCTCGAATGAGAAGCAAGTATGGTTTGAACTCGGATCTTCCGGACAGCCCATTTTGTTAGGATCTATAGGCTCTAGCTTTTCTTGGTACATACCGTCCTTCTTCAAGTATCGAATGGAAGTAGAGATATCAATTATCTTCCTCGCTCGAAGAAGCGCCACGGCATCATTTTCATAGGCTCCTACCAGTAAATCGGAATATCCATTTTGATCCATGTCGATTCCACCGCTTAACGAATATCCGAACGTTAACAACGGCTCCGGCAAATCTTCCGCGTGTATCACCTGTGACGGCACTGTGATTATTCCATTTCTCGATCCAAGATATATATACACCGTTCCCTTCTTCTCATACGGCGCCCCAACTGCGATATCTTCGTATCCGTCTTTGTTCAAATCCCCAAGATTCGTTAAAGCAAATCCGAACCTGGACTCCTCGCGTCCGACGAGTTTAACAGGCTTGATCTTTTCATGATCCTTGTAAGCTTTCTGCAACGTGGTGTACACGTACACCGCACCACCCTCTGCTTTGTTGAAATAAAACGGTGCAGCCACGATGAGATCCGTGATATTGTCCCCGTTAACATCAGCGGCGGTGATTTCGTATCCGAAACTAGACGCGAATTGTTCACCGTCTAGAATAAGGGCGACGTCCATGTCTGTCTTAAAGTCTCGTCTCGTCAGTAGAACAACTTGGCCCGTGCCATTTGAACGTGGAGCACCGGCTGCGTAAGCTAGACCGGTGTCAAAAAAATTGCCCACGCTGACGGACATTCCCAAATAGCTGTATTTACTGACAGGAGACGCATCTTGCATCGGCGCATTATAAACGGTACTGTCTCTAGTTAAAAATTCATCTGAGACGGTAAAAAGGTATAAGGTTCCTCTCCAAGTGTTCGGGCCCGGAGTCCCGATGACGACTCGATCTTCCGAAGTAAGCACACCACTGGTTCCTGCTTGGCAATATCCAAACTGCTCATGTGCACTGGAAAGAATATAAATTCTCGTTAATTTCAATGTGTTCAATTGTGATCGAAGTATTCGTTTCAAAATATATCAAATTACTTCTTTGTCGGTTTTCCAGAGCAGGGTTTTTTCAAATCTTGATATTTCAAGTCTTGCGTTAGTATGTAACATTGCCCTTGGCCCCATTGAGAATCAGCTATTTTCACGATATGTCTATGTGCACAGACCTACAAATATGATGCATTGAAATACTTCGTAACACATTATTGTTAAAAGACTGATGTAAGATGTAATGCATACCATTACTTTGCCACCGATTCCTTGACTGCGTACCGTTACTCCGAGCCATTGATTATCCTTGATCTCATTGACACTTGGTTTCACTAGTTTGTCAGACTCAATACCTAAAACGTTGAAAATAGTTTATTAAACGATACGTTAGAAAGATAGAAAATGTACAAAGTATACGTTTTATTCATCAGTGTCCCTATTTAAAGATCTTAAACCGTACAAATTGTCATCTTGTCCTCTCTCCCTGTGTAAGGCAATATTAAAGAAAATAGAAGAAATGAACTGCGGTGACTGCAGATGTCCAGGATTTAAACTCAACTTGGAGATCATAAAAAAATGTTAAGAAGCAGTACCTATGCAGTAGTGGTACGAATGAAATAGTATTTAATTCTATTCTCTTCTCATTTTATGCAAGTGTGCGTTTTGAATATGCAGATGCATGAAAATGGTTAGTGAAAATGCAGAGAAATACCTGTCAATGGTGCATTCATTAAAAGTGTTTCAAGTACAAAATGCAAGGGGTATTATTTGGAATACCATGCTGAGAGAAAAATATTGCAAACATATGCAAAACCACAGTGTTTCACGAAAAGGAATTACTCATTCAAGTAACACCGTTCAGTAACTTACTTGTCTCATACAGACTCCCTTCTGCTGCTCGTTAACCAACACATAATTTAACAAAAAAATAATCTTATTATGTATGTAACAAAATAAAGCACGATAACTTAATGACTCTATAAGTTGATAACATCGAGAGGAACATGCACACTGATTACATCAAAATAGTTTATGAACATAATACGAAACGTAGTAGAACGTAAAACTGAACTTTCAGGGAACAGAATATTTTAATCTAAATTAGTCTTACTGATAATTTACTTTGCTCCAACTTGTATGAAATGCAGATCATCGAATATTTATATCAATGCAACATTAGTATAAGTGCGATATATTTATTTTTCGGTATATAGATCACATTTTTTAATGAATAGATGGTCTTCATTATGAATCACGTTAATTATATCGATAGAAAGCTGTTTCAAGTTAAAACATACTTAATCTTCCATCAGTAATCACTTGAGTGCAATCTGTCTTAAATGTTGTCAATGGACATTGCCATAAAGCACCGGACCTATTGGTGCCTGGCTGCTTATTTTGATCCAAAGGTGCTCCGATCAACATCCTGTAAAATGAATGTATATAATTCTTTAAATTACAAATTTGAAATAGTTATAATAAGGATATACATGTAATGCATTCATATCAAGTGAAAGCATAAAGCCTTGAAATAAATGTATCATACTTCCTTAATATTTATACAGAGTTATCTATTTCATATCTTTTTATCACAGATTGATAAATACGTAGTAGTTACGTAATAAAGGGAGTTATAATTTATATACATTACGATAATAACATTTGCATGACAAATATATGTCATTATTATACAACTTCTAATTTTATATGTCCTAAATAGTGTATGCATAACTTACCAACTTTTTGGTTTCTGCGAACCATCGTCTGATAATTCTTGATGTTCGGCTACAGAATAACCGAAATAAGAACCATTTAATCCTTTCTTGATAACAGGTATCCTTGGCTCCAAATTAAAACAGTGGACCAAACATACGTTAAAAATAATCAAAACTAGCTGATAGTTTTTCATTTTTGGTTAATCTCAGTTCGTTCGTTCACATGTACTTCGTTATTTATAAGTGTATTACTGAGGATTTTTAAACCCTTCTAAGCGTTCTCTTATCTTTGAAACTATTTTCGTGTACTTCGCTGGTCCACCCATTCATCGACCTTTTAAAACACGCACAGGCGGCACGGGAGGACCTACTAAAATCCACCCACACGATTCACGTCTGTACATTTCATGACTACCATACTCTTCAAGTAGTTATCTTCCTGTATGCATAAGATAAAATCGTTTAGTCCGTAATTCTAGACGCGAATTTAAAACGTATTCGCCAGTCTACGAAACGAGTTTCATTTACTCGAAAAAGAATACGCTCCCAATGATTCACATACTACACATACGATTGAGTACACAATGAAGTAATTGTATTTACATTTTATGTATTGGTTTTATTTTTACAATACACGTACTGTTAGAAACATGACACAAAAGTGATTACAGAAGTGTTTAATATGAAATTATTATTGCAGAATTTGTACATCGGTGAAGTACAATGATTAAAAAGTACGCGACTTGAAACATATTTGAAAACAATAGCTTCGATTGCTATCGATATCCGAACTATACAGCTCGGTTCGGTTATGTTTTGCTGGACGTGTTTAAAAAGTAAACGCAGTAATATTTATAACAGAGAATATTTTTACATTCGCCGATGATGCATTATTTAAGATACAAACGATTTATTACGACTTTTAGCATAGTACGAAATCTAGGTAATGTATGACAATATATCTGTTTAAACATCACGAATTTTCCAATGACATTTAACCTGTTCTTCCTTGGTTTTTTTTCCCTACATGATGTATGTCATTTTTCCAGCGACCATTAAGAGATTTTATAGGAAAACGAACATATTATCGAGCGGTGGAAAATACGAGATTACCCTTGATCAAAGGAAATTGAAAACGCCTCAGGGCAAGGTGTTTCAAGTAGAGAGCAGACCTCTGGCTTTGGCTGTAGCCGCAGAATGGGATATGCAAAAAGGAATCATAGACAGAAGTAACATGCATTTGGTAAGTTTATCTCTAAAGTGATAGACAGGGTGAATTCAACAAACATGATTTAACAATACATTTATATATTAAATTTTACAGACAGCTCTTTGCAATACCGTAATAGATAATCCACATAATCATACGAAACAAAACATGGTCAATTACATAGTAAATTGCTTAGAGATGGATACAGTATTATTTCATTCGAATGTAGGTACGTTACATAGAACTCTGTGTGTACAATGTGAATTGATGATTTAATAAAAATTGATTGTAGGAAAATGATGACTTGTATAAACTGCAAACTAAAAACTGGGATCCACTGGTACAGTGGTTTTGTGACAATTATGGTGTGGATATGGTGAAGACTCAAAGTATAGAGGCTCCAACAGTGTCTCCAGAAACTAAAGCTAAATTGACGAGACACTTGATGTCTTACAACTACAGTGCAGTCTATGGTATGTAACATGATTATTTTAATTATATGTAAAACATGACGAATGTTACGATACTGTTTCATTTCTAGGTTTCATGTACGGAGTAGACACAGTCAAGTCTGTGATCCTTACTCTAGCCGCAGCAGCGAGAGTGATCAGTATAGAAGAAGCAGTGAGACAAACACGTTTGGAGGAAGATTATCAAGTGTGTATAATAACATTTATGTTGTAATTATCACATATTCTTTTCTACATCTTATCTTTCATTGCAGGTTTCTCACTGGGGATCGGTAGAATGGTTCCACGATCATAACAAATACGACTTACAATCACGGTTGGCTGCGGCTATCTTATTTGTGCATTTGAACTCTTACTCTGTGTCGTGTCGACCGAAAAGTGACAGTAAAAATATTGACTAATGTATAAAATCCTAGTCGAGTGAATCTCGTACAAGTTGTACACGTGTTATGTCGGGACAAGATTAAACAACGTTTTTATTAATTTGGAGTGTTACAAGAGGATGACTCAACAGAAGATAACGGTTTTATCGGTATGGAACAATCAGATCCCATCCATTCTTTTGTACAAATGCAACTAGAACAATGAATTAGTATTTTTTTTCAAAAGATCATCTAAATGTTAAAATATACTGAACGGCTTACCTATACGTAGCCCCATGGTTTAAACACACCGCGCCGTTTTTGCATGAATGCCGAATGCACTCGTTCCGGTGACATTCACCAACGCCACGACCTGTTGCAGGGCTGGAACTGGTTATCGGATAAATCGAATTTTCCGTGCGTAATTCGATGTCGAATATACAACCAGAAAAGCCAGTATGAAGAGGCAGATCATGGGGCAATAGTTCAAAGTTCTTCGACTTGTGTCCACCTGAAGAACAATCATTCGTTCTCATCCTAATTACTAGTGTCGATACCGAGCTTTATAAAAATTGTACTTCTTCAAATACGGTAGAACTGACCGATATAAAGTATCGGCGATACATCGAGCCGTGTCATGGAGCCAACCACTCGACCAGTTACATTGCCTATACCATCCACTGCGAGCCACGCATCCCGACCCCTTCTTCCAACCCGGACCGTGTACGTCATGTAACTCTTGCTCGCCGTTGCTGTTATCGTTGCCGCATTCAACGGAACGCTGGTAAATATTCTACGAACTCCTATAAAATATTCTCATGAAATTCGGTACTATCAATCGCGCGAACACTCGGGATGTGAATTACCAGCTCCCAAGTCCCATGTTAACATGATGTAACCGCGGACGTATGTTACGGAGAGGTGATCCGATAGATCGCGACGTGATCCGCTTTGCCCTAAATAAGCTATCAAAGATATTTGTTCGAAAGTACGCGGTATCAGCTTCAACTTCAACTCCATTGTATCTCTTATGGAGTTCGATACACCGTAAGCGATGTACGAAGAGAATCCAGGTACGAGTACCGAGAATGACGGTCGAGTTATGACAGTATCTAGAAGTTTAAAGCAGATGGTAATTAATGATGGCTTCGCAGACAAATAGATAGCGCGTGTCACCTTCTTCGCACAGAAGTCCATGAGTCCCGAGTGGACAAACGCAAACGAAACCTGAACCAGGTGAACTGATGCAAGTCGCGCCTAGTGCGCAAGGATTTTCATCGCACGTCGAACGCTCGCAAAACGGGCCCGTGTATCTGCCCAATTAAACTATTTATTATACACTTCTTTAGCGATACCTACCGCGTTCTAGAATATTGCAAATCATTTTACCCCGCTATGCATCTGCACCGCACCGTGCCGTTTACCTCTTCGCACGCGCCGAAATTTTGACATGGATTCGACAGGCACAAAAATGATACGCAATCCTCGATTTGAAATGTTTCTATAGAGTCGTGGATGAAGTGACGCGGCTCGTCATTTATCTACGTTAATAAGTCAATTAATATATAGACTTGTAAATCTTGATTGATAATTGAGGGAGGACGAACCCTCAGCGAGTCCATGCAGCCGGTGAATCCCATAGAGACGTGGGCGAAATAGTGAGAAAATACCATTGGTATTCCACCCAAATGCAAATTAGCGTGTCGCGGGAGATGCCCATGTAATGGTAAAATTTGTTCTCCGCTCACTGATGCCGTACCGTTCACTAGCAAACGTGCTGAACATTTGTTAGTCTCGTTTCTCATGAAATACTGAAATCTGCATTCGGTATAAGTTACCTTCAGTTTGTTATTACTGATGTTCATCGATTCAACGTACCGTGTATCGATCTGTGTTTCGTATCCGTTGTCGATAGGCGAATCTATCTCGCCTAGTAGCATGGTGTCAAGCCCACAAGAGAATTGAAACTTTAACGAGCCATATTCCAAATACACCAACGCGTATTTCTCGTTGTCGAAGTAAACGTGTAATATGATACCGTCCTTGAAACGGGTTTTGAGTCGAACAAAAATTCTTATCGTCGCGTTATTGCCACCCGAAATTTCAACGTCGACATGTTGCCTCGCGTACGATTTTCCATAGAACGCAGCTCGCACTATGTCAGGACCGGTTTTGCAATTCTCGCGCTGCGTGCAGTTGCACTAAAAGTCAAATTATTGGAACTGTTGTACTATTGAAAAGATTTTATTTTTAAGTTAAGAGAGAATGCAGTAATACTTGCATCACGGCCGTTGTGCGAGGGTACCGTGGTACTTATACAAGAAGTTCCTTGACATTCTGTAGTTGTACTACTTTCTACGGTGGCCGGTGATCCAGCTTTTGTCGAAATTCGTTCACTCTCACTGGCAGTAGTACTTTCGTCAAAAATTGTCTTCACAGTGCTACTCGTCACGGGTGAAGAAACATTGGTAACAAAAGCAAATGTAGAACTTTCAATCCCTGTGCTTGAAGGCTTCGATAATTCAGTGAACGTCCAACTATCTGTAAATGGTTGACCTGCTATAGAGCTTGTCGATTCCGTTCTATTTTGCCCAAACTCTATAAAACTCGAGGAAGTCGTGATGGTAGAGAGCCAGCTACTTCTTTCACTGCCCGGCGTAATCTCTTCTATCACTTTCTCAGTAGTAGTCACCGAGCTACTTCTTTCACTCTCCGGCGTGATCTCTTTTATCACTTTCTCAGTAGTAGTCACCGTAGAATACCTAAATAAAAATGAAATGCATATTGAAATGTACATTCGATTCTGCATCGTAATTCATCAATCGTAGAGCACCGTTACCCTGTACTTGGAACATATCCCATTGTAGCCTCTGAAGTGAGGGAATCAGTAGGATGTACAGACGCGAAGGTTCTACCGTTCTCTTGATAGATCGTTTCAGTCGTCGTTTCATTTAAACCGAATTTCGGTGTACCATGTTCCGCTTCGATTTTTAATGTTGGAACTATCGATGGTACCTCGCTCGAAACATTGGAAAACGTTTGGGTTTCTAACGAGACTATTTCAGTTTGAGACATCTCTTTACTCGTTATGTACATGGGTGTCGTGACAAAAGTAGTTTCTGTGCCATCGCTACTGCCGCTGCTACTGCTAGTAAAAAAATCTACCTCGGTTCTATCTGTGGAGGACGTCTCGGTGAACGGGTACCATTTCGTATAGGAACGACTCGTACCCTTAGATGAAGATTGCACTGTCGTGGAAGTCACGGATGACATTTCTGGCAGTATCTGTGAGGTAAAGGCAGTGATCTTCTGGTCGCTATCAGTCTCAGTTCTCTCGAAGGGTGAGAAGGTGGTTGATGGAAGATCGTAGGTATTACAAAATGGACCGCTGTAGAACGTCGGGCAGGCGCAAGTGAAACTGTTCACGCCGTCGATACAAGTACCCCCGTTCTCGCAGTTTGCGAATTTCGATTCGCAATCATCGTACTTAAGCTCGCATAATTGGCCATGGTAATCGGGCACGCAGTAGCAAACCGGTCGCTCGTCTTCGAACAAGCATACCGCGTCGTTCTTGCAAGGATTTTCGTCGCAGGGTATGATAGCCTTGTCGCAGTCTTTACCCGTGTACCCTTATAAATAAGAATATAATACCGCGCTTGTAGCAATTATGATCTTCTGCACGTTTAACGGCAAAGTATGACTGAAGTTTACCGAAGAGGCAAGCGCACGTGTACGTAGCAGGTATGTTGATGCAAAGACCGCCGTTTTTGCACGGCGACGTGACGCACTCGTTGACATCTTCGTCGCACAATCGGCCTGTCCAGCCTTCGTAAAGAAAATATTCATTAATAATTTGATTGAATCGAAATATTTATACAACCTTCGGAACAGCGGCAATAAAAAGAGAAGCCAGGTCCTTCCACGCATTCCCCTCCGTTCTTGCATATCGTGTCGTTACAAACCGAAACGTCGATTTCACAATAATCACCTTAAACAACGTGGCATAGATCGAGAGAAAAAGAAAAATGATCATTCTTACAAATCCTGATTGTTGCTGTTGATTTTACCTGAGTATCCGTCAGGGCATTGGCAAATGATGCCATCGTAATCGAGGCATGTCCCATTATTGAGACAAGGATGATTCGAGCATTCGCTATACTTTTGCTCGCAATTAATACCTGAAAATATATTATAAAATAATAAGAAACATTGTCCGTCTTGTTGATAATCTTAATTCAAGAATCAGTCTTGTATACAAGAAATCGCATCGTGAACATCGCACCCTCTGAGCTAACACGTCGACGGCTTGCACATGCGATGAAAAGCAAACAGTAAATTACCTACGAAACCGTCGAGACAGGTGCAATTATACGCCGCGACAGCATCGATACACGTTCCTCCGTTGAGACACGGATCAGACCAACAATCATCCCAATTGATCTCGCAATTGATTCCAGTGTAGCCATCGATACAGTAGCAAGAATAGGTGCTTATAGAATCAATGTTTATTCTTCTTTTAAATTGTACAACGAGGAAGAAAGACGATATCGTCCGTGTTTAATTAAGTTCGTATACCTGTTTGCATCTTCTAAGCAAATTCCGTACATGCATGGATCTCCGCTGCAATTCAATCCCCGTGAAAGGCCAGTTACTAAGAATAGAATTATTATCGGAACGAGAATCTCCTTTTTCATAGATTTTTCAATGAGCATTCTCGTCTGTTGCATTCTGAATATAAATAGCATAATTCTAGTATGACCATTTACTATGTACCGTCACGGATATTCGTACGAGGCTCATTTTCATTCGATTAATTAATTTCAATTTAGTCCCAGTCTATAAAAAACCGTAAATCGCGAACGACGTGCCACTAATCCGAGTTCATACTCTCATCAAAGGTACGACTACCTGATTGCAATATGCATATCATATATACTTCTCGGTTTAACTAGTATTTGCAGCAGGTAGTCAACCACCCGGTAGTCCTAGCAACGCTTAGGACTATACAAAGGTTGATGCCTGTCGGATACGCTTGCGTGAAAATTTGCTTCGTCAATAATAATTCTTATTCAATTATACGAAAACGTTACTCTAGGCTTTCCTATCAAAACTATTTTACAAGTTCTCATGCTTGGCGATCGATTAGAGATCACTTTTATATTGCATTCCATTATCTTCTTTACTTGCTGCACATTAATGGAATGGACAGTTTCCTCTGGGTATCAGTTGAAAAGATTCCAACTCTATTTTGGATGAATCCGAGTAACACGCACCGGCGTACATAAAAAGATTGCCATTTGAAACGATAGTACTATTCTTGAGCATACATGAAGTATATTAAATTCCTTATAAAAATACTCTCATAGCAATCTCCTGATTACTTCGTCATAGTCTCTGTGCATTAAATTAGGTACAATGCCAAAAGCAGACGCATTATATAATCTAAATACTCATACCATAATAAGACACTGCTGTCCGTAGCCAGTCGTTAACGAAACCTTGGCTTTCTCTGTCTGACAAGCGGCTCGATTCAATATGAACCGTGATTGTAATCCGGAGAAAGTGGAGGAACTATTGATCTCTCATTTAAAAGAGAAAAATGTTTTCCAAATGGAAAAATCATGGACCATTCGTGATTCCCCATTAAGCGGGTATGGCGTGTACGCCAACCGCGACATTCGACAGAATGAATTAATCATCGTCGATGCGCCTCTGATAATCGGACCAAGGGCAATAGGCAAACATCTACAGATGTGCGTGTGCTGTTATAAGAAGGAGTGCGCGTTATTTCCGTGCGACAGAGGCTGTGGCCTGCCGGTTTGCTCTGTAGAATGCAAGAACTCGTCGCAACACGCGAATTATGAATGCGAGTACTTGAGATCATTGGTACCGAATTGTGGCACCGATTGGTCCTCAGATCTGATGTTAGCTGTGGTCCCTATCCGTGCGCTCTTTTTGACTGGACAGCAACGAGAATGCTTGGCCACGTTTCAGTCTTATCAAGCTGACGTTTATTACGAGGTACGATAGTTCAGGAGGTTCTTCTGATTCTTCGATACAGTTTTTCCTTAAACCCTCTCAGCTTGATTTGCTTACGAAAAACGTGGTCAATCTTCCGACCGAGGAGGATATGAAGCTGATGAAGCATGTATGCGGCGCTTTTTATACGAATGCCTTCGAGACGGTCAAAGTTCACGATAAGGATCATTCCTCGAGTTTGCGAGCCCTCTATCCTATGGCAGCATTGCAAAATCATTGCTGCGTTCCGAATACCAGCCATCACTTCGACGCGGAATTCAGGCTTTACGTCAACACGACCCGTCCTATTTCTGCCGGTGAAGAATTGACAATGACCTATACCAGTCTATTTTGGGATAACACGTTGCGGCGGCAATTTTTAAGCACCACCAAACACTTCTCCTGCATGTGCGGGAGGTGTAGCGATTCTACTGTAAGTCTGGAGGAATTAGATGTTAAAAAATTATGGAAGCTGAAGTAAAAGACAAGTTTTACATCCTCGTATTGTTAGGAGTTTGGGTCTAAATTAGGTGCTCTCTTGTGCGCATCCGATAAATGTCCTGGACAGTTATTACCTCGCGATTCGCTTAATATGAAAAGTCCTTGGGCCTGTGATACGTGTACCGTAATTATAAATCATCGGCAGGTATATTTGTAGAAAATTCGAATCTGTTGATTAGAAAGAATAATTGTTCAACATCAATAATTTCTTATCAGTCACACGTACTTAGTTGTTTTCTTTGTTTCTTATCAGATACATTCGATACGTTCAGGTATAGCAGCAGTAATGGAAGAGGTTTTATATAAAACTCCGCGACAAGTTTTTAAGTTCATGCGAAGGGAATTGAGGCACCTGGTTCCTCGGACCAATTATCTACTCGTAGACGTAAAGTTTCGAATCATTTCCTATTACGGCAAAAACGATGGAATCACGTGGCAAGGTATAATAATGCATTTCAATAGATGCGTACTAGATGCTTATCTATGTAAACGTTCTTAGATTTAACTGATGGCGAACTGAACGTGAAAGCAAATTACTGCAACGATTTGCTTTCCATACTGGACACTTTAGGCTGCGGAGATTGTCAAAAAAGAGGTGATCTTATTGAGAACAAAGACTAAAATGCACCGGTTTCTTTATATTGTCATTCACGTCGTATTTCAGGCCTCATTTTGTACGAACTATACTGCACAAATTTCGAGAAAATGAAACGATTTAAAGAGCGACCGCGTACTGAAAAGGTACTCACATCGCGTTCGTATCGTCTTGTATATTTTATCTTTGCATTTTTAGATGGACGAAAACGAACATTTGTTACAAAAAGCATTAGCCATATTGAGAAATGATGCTGTTATACAAGTTAGGTATGAACACGATAAACAGTATTTTAAATGATCTGTAAAATAGGCTGGCTAAAAGGATGAAGTGAAAAAGATTTGAAAAATGTATTTTATTTTATCACATTATTCGTATTAAATTATTATATTTCTCTCGGATACTACATTTCATTTTGCAGTAATACATCAGGATTGAACAATATACAAAAAGACGTTTAGTCATGGCAAGTTAAAAACCTTTAGGAATTTTTAGGAAAATTCCTTTTTACATTGCGCCACTGATAGCTAAGTACTAGCTAAATTGTAGCTAAAACCAGACTAGGAAGTAATGAGTAGATGCACTTACACTCTCGTGTACATCTAGAATGTCATATCCTATAGGTAAAAGCATCATTTTCATACGACCTGCTGTAATAAACACTTCGCTTCTTCATACAAAGCTGTACAAGGCTTTAAGACTTCTATATCGTAGTCCACGTCTTCGTCAATATGTACATTATTATTATTCCTGTAACAAAATGATCCATTATATCTTTCACTACGTCATTCCATAAAAAAATTTACACAGATATATTTACCTGTATAGAAAGTCATCTACCACAGGTAACATGTCATTGTTTAAGTCACGTAGCAAACGATCTCGAGCGAGTGCCGTGTGCATAAATGCAACGTTATGAAGGAATAATTCCGAACGATCTGTAAATGAACATTGACTCAAACATAAATAACTTGCATTAACTCGATTTAACACACGTACCTTCGGTCTCGTATTTCTTCGATAACTTTTTTACCAGATCCTCGCCGGCGTACTTCGCGGATACACCGATCCTTTGTAGAATCGCTTTGCACTGCCAGCGATTCTCCGAATTCTGATTGCACGACATTGATTTACGAGGCTGCGTCTCTTTAACGAGACTCTCCCAATCGACACCCAGAGCATCGCCCAAACCCTTCCCACTAGTCTTTATATCCTCTTCCAATTCACCGTCGGAAATCTCTTCGAAATCCATAGTCTCCATATTTTCGTCTTCCATATTCCTGTATATAAATTTAATTTTCTCATCACTACAGATCGTGTATAACATCGACGTATGAATACTACCTGAACGACATTGCATCGGTATTGTCTTTTCCTTTTGCGTTGAAAACGGTTTCTTCTATAGCTTCTTTTGGAGATGAAGAATCTGCCTCCTGACTCGTGGCTTGACCATCCCGTTGCGTGATATCAGGGCTTTTCTTAGTTGCGCGTGTTTTATTTGTGTCCGCATCCTATAAGCATGCAAATTAATAATAATAACACAGAGAGCTATATGAATTCTATAATAAACTATTAGAACGTACCGTGGTATCTTCCATGTTCAATATATCGTCTGGATCATCGCTAATATCACTGAGATCGCTTTCGGTATGAAGCGTTTGCAGAGATTCATCGATGCAGGAACGCTTCGATTCAGAGGAAACGATTTCTTTCGTTTCGGATTTTTCCTTAGGTGGAGGTTTCTTCTGAAACATATCTGTAGACTTCTCTCGAGTCGATGGTAGCTTACCTTCTGCAAGCTCCATCAACTTTTTATTAATAGGTTCCTCCTTCATGCTACCGTACAAGGATGCCTGTTTGGAAGTATGAACCGTACATTCATCTCTACTTTCGGAACTGTTATAAGGTCGCCTCTTGCTGCAAATTTTAGATACTATCCAGTACTGTGAAATGTATAATGCATTAAGAAAACAAAGTTGATTAGCGGCATACTTATGCGGCGTCGATTCTGTTATCTCCATTTCCTTGGATCGATCGTTCCTGTAATGACCTCGAATATGTACCGATTGATTATCCCACTTTCTGGGTTCATTCGATTTCCAATCGGACACGGAATTATCGTATCGGGAATTCCAGTCGTCGTCGTGTACTTCCGATCGAGGAAGGCTGTCTCTGCTATCCCATAACGCTCTCACTCGCCATTCCCTTTCTTCCCAATCCACAGGGCCGTAAGTTCGATCCCTGCCATGTTCAATGTCACGATGGTGAGCATCCCATTCATCGTTAGGTACGCTTTCATCCCTAAGAATCATAGTGATTTATTGTCGATCAGTAAAATCGTGAAATTGTCATCGACGAATTAAAATTAACGCACCGAATAGCGGGATTGCTTCTTAATTTCTCTCCGGAGTAAAGCGGATGTCTGTGATGGTGATGATGATGACGATGATCATCGAACGTCGTTCTATCGGCGGTTTGAACGACGTATCTAGATTCTCGAGATCTCTCTTCACGAATTCCACGCCTTTCATCGAACGGACTGTCGTACCTTCTTCCATCGACGGTTTTCCTTCGGTCGTCTTCGTGAACATGATGATCGCGATAATCTAAATGCGAGGACGATTCCTCCGGTTCTTCCCAATGCTCCGACAAACGTCCGTAATTTCTATTATAATTTCTGTCGATCTCAATCGTCCGTCGTGGACTGGTTTCCCGTCTGTCGACCAGGCGATCAACTTTGGTCGGTGTGACACGCGATTGATCGTGTTCAGACGCGTGAGTTCGATCGTATCTCGTACCAAACCGCCTGTGCCTCTCCCGATCGTAATGTCCAACGTCTATTCTATCGATCAAATTATCTCGCGACGTCGACAACGTAGCTGGTGCAGACGAAGATGAAGACGAAGCTATAGAAGTTTGAACTGGTAAAGCAGGCGTCTGCGATAATGGCGGTACACTTTTGTCAAGCAACGATGCTCTGTCCAAAGATCTTTCACGAGGGAAACGATCGGTACGATCTCTCGGCGAATTTACATTAGCTTTACGAGCAGATGCATCCTTATCCACAGTACCCCTATCGTATCTGCTTTCAACGCGTTGAGATGCTCTGTCTCTATCAGAGAGAGTTTTCGTTTCCGATCGTTCTCTCTCTCTGTCGCTTCTACGTTCGCGAGTACCGTTCTTCTCGAACGCACTGTCCTTCGCTACTATTCTTTCTTTATCTCGACTATAGCGCGAATTTTTATCAGTTGTCAGACTCAGAGACGTCGAAACCAAAGGAGCTACGTCCCTATCTCTCGTTTTTAATGATTCCTTCTCTCTGTCACGGTCGCGATCTCGATCTCGATCACGTTCACGGTCTCGTTCACGATCACGGTCGCGGTCACGATCCCGGTCCCGGTCCCTTTCTCGATCGCGATCTCGTTCTCGATCCCTGTCCCGTTCGCGATCCCTCTCCCGTTGTCGTTCGCGACAACGATCCTGTACATCTTCCTTATCCTTGTCACGAGCGTCTCGTTGATCCCGAGCAAGTCTCGAATGGCCCCGTTCATCCCTCGTGTGCTCCTTATCTCGCCGTTCTCTGCTCTTCTGTCGTGTTTTGTCACCTACGTAGGCTTTATCTTCAAACTCTTTACCGATCCGCCTGTGGCTCTCTTCCTGAGTAGACAATTGTCTAGATTTACTGTTTTGTTCATTCTTTCGTACGTCCTCTCTGTCTTTGGTCTTGTCACTTTTATGTGATTCGCGATCTTTCTTCTCAGTGTCGCGAGATCTATTCGCAGAAACTTGCCTATCTTGCGGTTTCGGCGGAGTAAGTTCTCGCTTGGACCTCGACGATTTCTCAGGCGTACGACTGCGATGAGTTTTCGTCGAAATCACTTCTTTCGAGTGCTGATGCTTCGATCTGTCCGACGGCGGCGGTGTCCTGGAACGTATGTCTTTGTCTTTGCACTTCGATTTTAATCTCTCATCTACTTTCGCTTTTTCGTTTATCGCACGACTCTTTTCCTTGTCCTGTTCCTTGACCTTCTCGAACGTCTTAGTCTTAGCACTGTCTTTAGACAATTCATCCACCTCTCGCACTTTCTTGTAATGTCTGTCATCTTTCTCGATGTCTCTGCTCTTCGACGCTTTCGGAGATTCACTTCTGTTCCTCTCTCTGACTTTAGTAGACGTCCCGTGATGAGGCACGGACACGGCAGAACCCAATACTGTCGTCGCGGTCGTTGACGCTACCGCGGTAGACACTTGTATCGCCGGCGATCTCGTACAAGACGTGGAAGAATGCTTTCGCGACGTAGAAGATGAACTGTACTTCTTCGCCGATCTGACATTCGCGTCCTTCTTCGTAGAAATAGTTTCCAACTTACGTTTCTTCTTCACCGACGGCTTCTCGGTTTTCGTTCCGAGTCTTTTCAACTTCAACCTATCGGAACGATCGATTCGTAATTATTTACGAACGATTCGAAAATTATAGCGACGAGTGTTACAACTTACTTTCTTCTCCTTTCTTTGTCTTCGTCATAATCGGTAGAACCACTGTGATGCCGTTTAGACTTGATCTTCTTTACTTTTTTACGAGAATCGGACGTTGAACTGGAAGACGAGTCTTCGCTGCTCGAACTACTACTACTGCTGGACGAGCTGGAGGTGTGAGAGCTTGAGGAAGAAGTCATAGCCTTTTTCTTCTGTCTCACTCTGTCTTTCCCATGCACCTCTTTATCCTTCTTCATTTGAAGCTCTAACTCGCGCTGCAACAACTGTCTACGTCTCTCTAACACCTTCTCGTCCTCGTATTCCAAATCTGTTTGATTCCACTCCTCTAAATTTAAATCGGGACTGTGCGATGCTTTTTTTACAATCTTGGAAGTGAGCCTTTTAAATGGATCCTCAATGAGCTGCACAGTAATACATTATTTTAATAGATTTAATTGAATATCCGAAAAAGTGTGACAAACGGATCATTGACTTACACCAGCTGTACTTGCAATAGCATTATCCTTCTTGGCACGTTTGGATGGACTTATTAATGTGTGAGTATTTGCATATCTAGTTGCAATATCAAGAAAACAAAATGTTGATCATCTTAAATAGAACGATTGGTAATTAAATAGTTAAGCTCTAAATAGGTAATCTATAGATACATACAGTATAATTATTCATCATTCGTATGAGAGACAAACGGAACTGTGATCGTTTCGAGAGTACGTGGAATTTAAAACTGACTTACTTGCAATTCTTTCCGTACGAACAGCTGCCGTTCAGTGCCCAGTTTCTACAATAATCTGACGAATTTTGGCCGGCAGTAACAGCTGGTTTGGTCCCCAACCTCTCAAACACACTTGGTCGACGAGAGTCTGTATTACATTTCGTAGGGTCAACCGTTATCTTCCTTATGTTTGATTTTGACATATTATCACCATAAAACAATTATGTTTTCACAATGGAAGCACATAACTGCAGCATGCAAATATTCATTTGCTATGGAATCACCATCAATGTAATCACGATCTTTAAACTAATCGGTCTTAACCGGTCTTAAAAACTAAGAAGCATAAGTCGCACGTTACTTGTTCTACGAATATTCTCCTCGTGATCGCCGCTGCTGTAATATTTACACTGTTTTATTCTTAAAAGTTAAGCTCACATTCGTACTGAGTATACGTACGCTAAGTAAAACACAGTAAAACATGGTGAAACCACTGAAACTGAATCCCAGTGTTGGGCACATCGTGGGATTTTTAGGGCATGCGCACTGACCGTACGCCGTACAGTCTGCTCAAAGATCAGTCCGACCCTTAATAATTATACATGTATTAGTAATCTTGCGTTATAATACCATGTATAACACGTTATAATTAATACAATTTATATTCGCACATTACTAATAAATAGGTATATTTGTATTTTGTATGCGGTAGATTTTATAAGAATAAGCATTGAAGTTCAACTGTGTATACAAGTGATTCTGATTGTCATTTCCAGTACTGACTACCGGCTCCAGCTATCGCAAACGTTGCTGTCACGTTCGAGACTAAATAAGTTAGTATTTCAGTCTTTCTACTTATTTTAGTTGTACGTAATTCATGTATTAAATACGATGACCAAGATCAATTATTTATAACGATTCTAATCGCCTAATACAAAAATTCATGATTTAACAGTGTATGAGTGTACTTTTTTTTATCTTAACGTCTATTGCTACACTTTTTATTATACTTTAGGATAATCAGTATACGTTAATTTACAAAGACTAAACATTTTACAGGTCTTTCTACAATGGCACATCAATGTGTTTGCGGAGGTAAACACGATGAGACTGAGCTGGGAATACACTACAACTTGTTCCAAAAAATTGATATTGAAAACCTGGAATGTTTAAATGAAACTGAAGAAGGCAGCGGAGCTAGTGTATTTAAAACATGGGAAAACAGATTGGACAAAAATAAAGTGAAGTATCATGCACACATTTAAAAATGCTTAATATACAAATAACTGATGAGTAATGTAATTTATGTTGATTTCTTTTCCAGTACGTCGAGAGTGATATCGACAATGAACTCCTATTTAATATTCCGTATGTGTAAACGTATTCGATCTAAATATTTGTTAAGAAAAAATGTATAAACATGATTATTTGTTTTCAGTTTCACAGGAAATATAAAACTGAAAGGTCTTATTATTATCGGAGGAGAAGATAGTTCTCATCCAAATAAAGTAAAATTGTAAGTTTTTCACAGGAAATCTTTATCGAACTATATATATTTATTATCAAATTATATATATTTTCTATTAATATAGGTATAAGAACAGACCCTATATGACATTCGATGCTGTGGCTACAGAGCCTGAACAAGTATTTGAATTATGTGTAGATCCAAATGGAGTGCACGAATATGCTCCTAAGTATGTAGATATTTTTATGCTTTACATAAATATTTATAAATAAAAAACTACAAGCATTTGTATTACTGTTACAGAGTGGTTAAATTCTCCTCGGTACATCATTTAAGTTTGCACTTCACTGGAGCGGATAAAATAAGAATTTACTACATCGGATTAAGAGGAGAGTGGTCGCCTCTGCATCAACACGGTGTTACTATTTGTACCTATGAATTACGTCCGCAAATGAGCGATCACCCAAAGGGAGACAACGAAGATATCGATAAGGCCATAAGTTGATTTTCTAATAAAAGAACTGGCATTCAATCTTCTGTGTTGAGATAAACTAAGTCTGACGACTAATAAATGTTTCTATTCAAACACACACGTTTCTGTACTTTTTCTAATGTCTCGCGGAATCAGAGAAGTTTGTATGATTTAAAAGAAATCTTGTGTGATCTTGTGAAATCTTGAATGAATAAAAAGCACGTTTATTTTTAAACAGAAACAAGACGATGTTCTTTATGCATTAGATCTGTTATTCTGTCAAAACTAATACGTCCCCCGGGACCCCTTTCGATCTCCCCTTCTCTCTGCCTTGTTCCCTTCCACCGTGTGAGTACCAGCATGAAACTCCGATATTCGATATCGCGCGAAAGCCGTCCGCTAATTGTATGTTCGACAATTGGCGGCTCATGGCACACGCGACTGTCGGCTCCTCTGTCGAGGCAGATAAACGGAATAAAAAAAATGCTAGTGAAAATATCGTTTGTACATCAATGGATAACTCAGTGCCATCGGCTATCGCGCAACCCGTACCACCGGACGGAGGATGGGGCTACGTCGTGGTTCTGGCATCCTTCTTAATCCACGTAATCGGTAAATACCTAATTTTATACCTGTCCGTTTTCTTTCCTTATATTTTCAAATACTTTAGCATCTCACCGTTATTACTTCCGTACATCTTGAATCTCGTATTCGCTTTGCTCCTAATTGATTCTATACAAACGGCAAAATATTTACTTCGCTTTCTGCTACAGATGAGATTCGTAATCGAAATATCATGAACATACTTAAATTATTATACTGACATTGTTTTCTTAGTCGTTCTTTTTCGGTCTTTATCGTTACCATTATGCTCACGTTTTAAAAGATTAATCAGTCAACTGATATTCTTCTTAATTTCGAACATGCATAATTGTCCTGTCCTGTTAAAATGGGAAGGATAGTAAAATTAAGTATAACGTTTTCACCGTTGATATTTCCACGTTATCTGCACTCAACTACTCATTATGGTATTAACGGACTAGGCTTTTAAAAACTAATTAGTGAATTTATATAACAATTCTAGGTGGTCCTAGGCCACATTCCGGTCATAGCCGTTTCCTGGTTTTTGAATCTTCTATTTCTTCGATAGTCGATTTGCAAACGGTGGACCGTGAAAGAAAAACGAGCGATAAAGAATGTTAACAGGTTTTCTCTGCTAATTCAAGAACGGAGATTTATAACGCGCGTTTCATATTGCGCATTCGTTACAGAACAGAATATTGCCAAATAGGCACAGTCGATTGAGCACGCGTTGCAGTATTCGGATAAAACAAACATACACGCGGTATCAGTATATGCGTGATCGTTCGAAGAAGAAGAACGGCCTTGCGAGCATATGCTTGCACGTACGATGCCTTCCTAATTTTCGTAACAATGTTTTTGCTAAAATTTTCTCACATAAATATCTGCATAACATCTGCGAATACTTCCCGAACGTCACGATTCGTCGTGCACAATGCTGAAAGTGTAACGACAAAAGAAGAAAATCGTAGAAAAATGTCTAAGCATCTTGCGAGAACATGTAAAAACGAACTAAAAAAAAAAGGAAGATGCGACGGCCTTGACACTTCACGAAACAGACTACTTGAACGATATGTTTTATCTATGTTTCTTGTAGGCTTATCTATGGTACACATAAATAATATTCTGTATTATAACATCGGCGATCTATCATAGATTTTTAATGACCGACTCGAAAATCAAGAGATAGTGGCTATATTTACGACAAAATAATTAATCTGGTTGTCGATTAAACGTATCGAGTGTCGAACGTTCGATCGACAACCCGATTAAGATGAGAGGATTGGGGTGATCCTCAAAAATTAATTCCGTACATAGAATAAACAGTTGCATTATTATAGCTATTAATAATGAATACAATCATTCATGATGTCACAAAGACAATGCCTACGATTGAACGTTGCTCAGTTAATGCACTTTGATCGTTATATTGATCATATGTAAAAATACAAACATTTCGATAAGATGCGTTTATGCATCGCTGTACAATAGTTACGTGATATGCAAAAAAAGCTAATGCCAAAACAGAAGTACAGTTTCAGAAAAAGAAAAATATTCACTGGTGATTGATAAAATCAATGAAATCAATTAATTCACATAACTTTTATCGTCAACTTTTTAAATCACCAAATGTACAAGAACGATTGTGAACTGAAAATGATTCTTGTTTGTTACAGCGGACGGTGTGACATATTCATTCGGTGTTTTTTACTTAGAACTTCTATACTACTTTGAAGGAGGAAAAGGAGCAACAGCATGGATCGCGTCTATATTAGTTGGCGTGACATTATGCTCGGGTAAGTCTGTGTCGTAACACAATTGTATCAGTTTGTTGAATGATTTATTACAGGTCCGATATCGAGCACGCTTGTGAATAAATTCGGATGCAGAGCCGTGACGATGGCCGGCTCAATTTTGGCGACTGCGAGCTTACTGACGAGCATGTGGGCTCGAAACATCATAACGTTATACTTTTCGATCGGTATCGGGACAGGTAATGCCAGTTCTTTAGTTCAACGAACAGTTTCAGTATTTATGTTTAGCGTCATCCGATTCTTCAATAAATACTTGATGGATCCGAAAACACATGTTGCTATTATAGGCTTGGGCTTCGGTTTAATCTACTTGCCTGCGATCGTCAGCGTGACGTGCTACTTCGAGAAATACCGGTCCCTTGCGACGGGGATCGCGGTCTGCGGGTCTGGCCTGGGCACCTTGATTTTCGCCCCGTTCGTAGATTACCTGATCGCGCTCTATGGATGGCGAGGCGCGATCATGATCTGTTCCGGGATCGTTTTGAATTGCACTGTCCTCGGCGCGCTCTTCAGACCCCTCCCGACGAGAAAATTGAAAAAGCGAAATCCCACAGAGGTACAAGATTCTTGTATGTATATACTACGTATTTAAGATATATATTTTAGAAAGAATTTTAATGAGTATGAACCAAGTTCAATTTAAAGAATCGATCTCTCTGCCAATTCATAATATCACTGTCCACATGTTGATTACGTTATTCGTCTCTGGTTATAATTAATAATTTCAGAAATCTTCACTGAAAAAGAATCCACACAAATACTTGAACGGTTTATATAATCAGGAAGACAATCAGAAATGTGTATTACAGAGCGTAAGCTTTCGAAAGGATAGCGTCGCCTGTGTGAAATCTCTGAGTCAACCTGTGTTAATCTCAACCAGTGCAATGCAGCAGAATAGCTCAGAGGACATTTACAAAGAGCAGTTGGTATCTTTTCTGCGTACATTAATTTACTTTTATGCAAGACTATTATAAAAATACAAAATTTATCTATTAGCAGCACGTCTAATTTACCGCAGAGATATAATCAAGAAGCGTTGCACGAGCGTCAGTCGTCAACGAGTTTACCAAATAAAATAGATTACGTTCGAACAGAAAATAGGGAAGTTAGCACCGAGAGGGAAGCCAATGCCCTTAAAAAATATGTAGATTTTTCTATATTGAAGGACCCAGTATTCATACTATTTACCGTTTCGAATTTCTTCACCAGTATTGGATTTTACGTGCCATACGTATACGTGTTGGTAGGTACACGAAAGTCCGTTTAAGGATGTATTGGCTATACAGTCAATCCCAAAGGTTTATGCACTTTAGAAACGCATTTTGTAAAAAGAAATCAGACGTCGGAAGAACATTGCTAATAATAAACAAGAAAAAAAAATTTTCGATTTTTCCGAGATTTCTTCAAGGGGTACCCCTTCAATTTCTTAGAAATTTTCGTTTTTCGCCGATAACTTCGAAACCGTTGGAGATACGGGAAAATTGCATCGAATCTTTCTTGTAGAGGACGACGAGATCTACAATTTCCATGTAAAAGTTTTTCGCTAGCGTCAATAGTTAACGAGTAATTTGCAAAAAACTGTTTTTTAGTTTTTCGTCAATAACTCGTTAAATATTAATGCTAGCAAAGAATTTTTACATGGAAATTGTAGATCTCGTCGTCCCCTACAAAACGGTCCTATACATGCCCCCCTACATCCATCCGTTCGGGAGTTATTTACAAAAAACGACATTTTTTTCCAAAAGTTCGCTGTTTCGACGCTGGAATGGTCGGATTTTGTCAACATCAATAAAATGCCAAATAATCATACGTAACTCGTTATATATCGAAATTAGAAGAAAAACAACTTTTATTTGAAGCATTTTTCGCAATTTTGAAAAAACAAATTTTCCGTCAGCGTCGATACTTAATTAGATATTTCCGTCTATACTTTTTAGCACGTAGCTATTTATTATTAGCATTATTCTTCCGACGTCTGATTTCTTTTTAATTATAGGAAATGCGTTTTTCTAAGGTACATAAACTTTTGGGACTGACTGTATAGCCAATACATCCTTCATAAAAATTATAATTCCCAAGTAATTGAAACATTTATGTAGCCGCAAGCCGAGGAACGGGGAATTAACAAAAAGGACGCAAGCTATCTTCTTGCAGTAATTGGAATTGCTAATACTGTTGGTCGTATAATCTTAGGATACATATCAGACAAACCGTGGATTAATCGATTATTGATATATAATTTGAGCCTTACGATATGCGGTATCGGTAAGTGTGAGGAGTAATGTTTAAACATTGTCGAAGAAATTTTATTTTGTATGTCTTCTTATCTTTTATAGCTACGATTTTTAGCGCCTTCTGCTCGTCTTTCGTATCGTTTACGGTTTATACTTCTATATTTGGATTTACGTCTGGTGCTTATGTCGGCCTTACATCTGTGATATTAGTAGATTTATTAGGCTTAAATCGTCTTACGAATGCTTTCGGCCAGCTTTTATTATTCCAAGGTTTTGCGTCATTTTTAGGACCACCCATTGCCGGTATGTTAATGCCCTCATCTTTATGTAGCATATGAACATATTTCTACGATATCTTTCAGGATGGTTGTACGACGCACTCAAATCTTATGATCCTGGGTTTCTTACTGCTGGCGGTATGATGACCGTTAGTGGACTGATTTTATTTTTTATACCTGTCATTCAACAAAAAATACAGAAACGTGAAAAGACGAAAGGTACAATAAATAATACTTAGTACGAATATCTTTTTCTCTTTATTATCAACTTTACTTTTAACTATAAATTCACTCGTGTACGTTTAATCATAAAAAATATAGTGGAGAAGAACAGAAGAAGTCTGATATCTGCAAATTTACGTATCTTCTTTATTCGTCAAGTTTGAAAGTAAAAGTTTTACATCGTACTCTAAATGTTCGTTAAAAATTTTTTCTATCGCGCACACCGTGTCGTACTCCAAGCGAATCTTCTGTTTTTGTAATTCATGTAGTATCTGTAAGAATGATATTAAGTACATTTTTAAAGCGAACCATGAGATAATTTCGTACCCTCAGTAACCACGTCTTATGAGATGGGAAGTCAAGAATGAAGTCACGCAATTGCTTGTCCATCGTTACGAATTTTAAATCATTCGATTTGTTACCTAACATCAGGGTTGAAAATGAATCGTCGCTTTCTAATAATTTAGTACTGGCATACACGAAACTATGTACGTCATTTTTAAAAACTGCCGCATGTCTAAGACTATGAGCCAGTATCTTGTAAAAATAATCGCCTCTGCAGTATCGCACTGTAAATATATATAATTGTAAAACATATAACAACGTTCCTTTTCTATCAGGATACACACTTACTGTATAGAACAGCTTCGGTTAGTTTCTTCTTCTTCAGTTTAAATAATATATAAGAGTTATTGAACAACGTTTCGCTTATACTGTGTTTCATTAATATACTTTTTACATCATACAGTTCTCCGAAAGTCACTGGTAAAACGTAATCGGTAATCGTGTCGATACATGGTAATATATTGAATTCGTTTACCATAATGTTAAGGACATCTAGAATACCTAAAAAGAGTGTATTAATACAAATATCCGTCTATGATAACACGGAGATACGAACCTTGGAAATCGTATTTGTTTGCTCGCCTGATTAAAATTGGCCAAAAGTAATGTGGCTTTATTATGGTGCGATATTTACATATCCTGAGCAAAGGAAGAGACACATCATCGTTTTCCATTAACGAATAGCGTAGTAACGTTAACAAAGACTTATCATATACATTCTGTTCTTTCACGTGAGTGCATATCTTAATAAGGTCGTTAACTGTCTACAACACGATGTTAAAAGTAAACACTCTTAGTAGAATTTATAGAATAAAAAAATTTATTTTCCCTACCATACTTTCATTAATCGCGTGTTTCAGGATTAATTTTACAACTTTATTTAAGAGATTTTTTTGAGAAATCATGCAGAATAGGACATCCATAGCTATTCTCGGTTGATTACTGCTTATCAATTTCAATATCAAAATTAATTCACCATTCGTAATGGTGTTCTTTCTTTTTAAATACTGGTACAGCTGAAATAAAAATTCGACTATTACATGTATATTTAACTTTTTACTTAATCGCGAATTCGCTAAAAACTCTTACAGTATGCATGTTTTCAGTACGATCATCCTTTGCTAATACATAAATCACACTTAAGATATCTTCATTAGTAAAATGCAAATTGTTCGCACTGCAGTTTTCAATTGTTATTCTGATTTCATCGATATTATTCAATTTTGCGTAAGTGCACAGAACTGCGATCAACGTTTTCGAAGTTAGCTTTAAATTCAGTTCTTTCATTGTGCTCAGAATACTATTCACATTTTGTATATCTCTGAAAGATGCATAAATCCACATCATACTTGTCATTATTAAGTGTGCATATATATACATATATATTTACCCAGTTCGAGAGTATCCTAACATTAATGAATTAAAAATAATTTCCGATATACGAAGCTTCAACCTTGACATATCTTCTAGAAGCATCAGTGCTTCGTTAATCTTTTCCTTTCTGCACAAATATTCGATGCACATTTCATATGTCGAAGCATCTGGATAAATTCTTTTGCTCTCCATTTCCATTAATAATTTCGTAGGTGAAAAATCAATTTCGTTCGTTACATACAACTTCAAGAGTGCGTTATAATGGGCTGTACAAATCTTGAAATCTTCAGAATAAAATGTAAAAGATACGTATTTACACGTTTGAATAATGTTAATTTAAAACAAGTATTATTAACGTACTGCAAACATTTAGAATCAACCATAACGATTCTCCAAGTTTCACCTTATCTATTGGTAAGCAATCTGTTATATTATTACACCATTGAAGTAATGAAACTGATTCATAATCGTCTATAACATCTGCGACAAACAAATTTAGCTAGATGTAGGGCACATTTTATGTAACTCAGATTATGTTATTAAATATGAGATAAAAGTAATGTGACAAAATGAGTTTTGTACAAACCTACAGAATCTATAAGGTTTATGATATTTGCAATTTCCCTTCTTCTCAGGCCCTTCTTCATCTCTATGTGTTGGCATAGTTTATCGAATTTTTCGTATATTATATTCCTTTGACTATTTTCTTCCTCTCGTCGTGCTGTCTCCCTACTAATATATCATTCTTTATCAGCTTTAAAAGTAAGATTTATATACTAGGAAGACTAACCTTTCGAGCATAACAAATGTCCTTGCACATTTTATACTTGCAAAACTGATCACTCTTTTATTCTCGTTAGATACAGCAAATTTCAGGTGTTGCCCAAAATAATTCGCACGTCTTAACAAAATATTTGTCATGATAATATTAAATTAGTTTACGGTACGCGCTCCGATTTTTCACGTGGTACACTGGAGCTATCTATCTAACCTACTCGTCACTTGCAAGTAAAAGACAAAGTAGATTCATAATATAATTTAATCGAAGGTTAATCAATGAAAGCAATAATAGCCTTTTAATATATTTTTTTTCTGTTAATTCAAGATTAATTTTAAAGTGTTTCGTAGCGTGCTGCAGTTCAACCGGCCGAGAGACATGTGTAAGGGAGTACATGAGAAATGAATCACAATCATGGATATGTATTTATGTATTATAAGAGCTATTTGTTGACAGAGTATCATCTTAAGATTACAAATATAAAAATACATTTCAAAAAGTAGTTAAGTTTCATTTCAATTTCGCATAAATTTTTCTTAATTTAAAATCTTACAACAGTATAAACATTTCGGTAATTGGACTGTATATTTAAGAATATATTTTTGAATGAAGTTTGCCTAGAGAATTATTCACATTATGAATACATGTGGTTTATACATTTGTTATGCAAAAATGGTACGAAAACATGATTGTCAAAAAATAAATACAGTGTAATTAAACATATAAATATTAGCACATAATTAATACATTGTCTTCTTGTCAATACCAAAATCTTAATGCTAAGCTGACACATGAGATTACAGTTATACCAAATATTAAAATACCTCTTCGGATAGTTGTTCTCGTTATAGTTAAATCATATGTGATTGATAACTCTTTTACATTTTACAATAAAATATTACAATAGACACTTTTTTATATTAATATAAATTTCTTATAGCATTAACATTAGATCTTATAATTATTTATAAGAATTCATCGCACCAATCACAGAGGCACTGATAACAATCGTTAGATTGCTTAGCATTAGCTGAACAGATATCTTTCATCCATTCTTGAAATAATTCTCTGTTCTTTTTTAAAACCAGAAACTGGCCAAGTACTACGTACGCCTGGAAGCATATTACAATATATAAGTACTCCAAGAATCACAAAACAAATCTATAATTATATGCATTAACTATTTCAATCTGTATATTAACTGCATTAATTAAGAATCAAATGATATCTGACCTTATCGAAGCCTGCTCCTTCTAATCTGCGTCCGAGAACTTCCCCAACCCCCGCGAGGTCAGTAACAGGTTTCTCGCCCATGGGTTCAGCGACGAAGTTTTTATGCTTTTGCGATGTGCTCGACATGTTTACTCTGCAAACAGCTCAGTAAATTAATATTGATTTATTTACACGAAAGATTAGAAATTCTACGTTAATAATACGTGCAGTACCTAGTTTGTTTCGATCGTTTTCAGTATAAGGAGGTTAAACAAATTGCATCGACGCCAAATCAACCACTGTCTCAATTTGTGTGTTCCGGAAACTTTCAGTAACGCTAGATATCAAATCTTTAATTAACCATTTGTTTTAGAATTATTATTTTCTCTTGTTTATACGATAGATATG